ATGCTGGAGTACATCATCTCTTTCTTCTTTCTTGATTCTTCTTCTTCTTCTTTCCCTCTCTCTCCTCTCAAATTCTTTCATTTCTTTTGCAATTGTACGGCATTGGGCTCAAGTTCATTCATTTCCTTTCGCAATTGGACAACATTGTACTTTCTGATGATTGTGGACTTCGAAATTGGCCAGGATCGTAACATTAGTATCAGAGCGGATTCTACTTGTTGGCGAGAGTTGACTTTGCTGCCATAACCCTACCCCTAGTGGTAAGGGCTAACCACTTAGGGTTAGGGCTGGAAGTTAGGGTTAAGTGGGGCAGCGTGGTAAAGGGAAGCTGCTCCCACCTGGCAAGGTTGTGTAGGGTCGACACTAGACCCGGCCAGGTTGCTTGAGTGCATGTTTGTGGTGGCGAGACACAAGGTGGAACTTCGTGATGCAATTAGAGAGAGGCGACAGTGAAGGGCACCTACAACTTGAATTTGGACTTCAAGGAAGACGAGGAGTGACTTTAGGGCTCCCCTCAAGTAGGCGAGCTTGAGGGTGGCAGCCATATCTGCACCTACGGACTGCAAGTTGCTGCTTTGATCTTCAACATTGACGGGGGATCCGACTTTGTACTTTGGGGTAGATGTTGACCCTCCTAGATGATAGGACACTAGTGTAGAGGATGCTAATTGGGTCAGGAGGACTATGTGAGATGGGGGTGAGTTCTTTTCATCTCAAGAGCCCGGCCACTCAGGTAAGTGTCGTGCCACCAGTGTGCCCATGTGTGTGTGCATGTAATTAACTGCCTGTTGCGGTTCTCTGGGTTCTTCTTCCATCCTCCATAGTCTTGATTGTGTGTGAGGTGTATGAACTGCCTACTACCTGACGAGTGAATGAATGATCTTGTTTGCCATATGATATCTCTCTACAGTGCTTTGTTTATTTCATTATGAACGGCTGTAGTCTACAGGTTCTTTCTGGGGCAAAAATTTATTTTTCAACTCAGTAGGGACAGAGTAGGTCTCTGTGGAACTCTTGTTGGTGGGGACCCGGTTGTGACTCCACTGGGACCATTTGGGACTCAGTGGGACCGGACCCAAACAAGAAGGGCCCCTAAGGCCAAATCTGTTGACGTCAGTTACCTTGCTCTATCTGATTGGGACTCGGACTTTATGCTTTCGGACCAGGACACTCGCTGCGGAGGGGATCTCCGTTGGGACGTTTTATCAGACTTTACCGCACAATCCGCCGCCTGACTCGCACCTTATACACCACTCAATTCTCTCTTGCATTTCGCTGTACATCTTGAATCTGATTTGTTGTGTTTTCACGGAGCTGAGGCTGACTAGGCTTGGGAGGACCCCATACATAGTCAGTCCAGACTGTGTGGCTGGATCAGATCTCTCTGATCTTTTTTTTTTTTTGTCTAACTGCTCTCCAGTCCAAATGAATTGCCGCTCCGGCTAGGAGTTCTACCTTCTCTTCTGACTGATTTCAAGTTGTTTCTTCCATTGGGTTTTTTAATGTCTGCGTCTACACGGTCGCAAATGAGAGAGAGAGAAAGGAGAGAGAAGCTTCTGAGTATTGCTCTTGAGGGAGTGAGGAGAGGGAAGAGGAGTGTTCGTCCTAGGCAAGTGAGGAAGTACGAACCCCTCTTGAGAGACTTATTGACTCCCTCATCCTCCATCATGGCATCTGCAACAGATTGGAAGCTGCAAATGGACGTTGCCCCTGAGGCAGAGAAAGTGCAGTACCGGTTCTTCTATGAGAAAGCATTGAAGAGAGAGGAGGAAGAGAAAGAGAAGGAGAGGGAGGAGAAGGTGAAGGCTCATGAAGCCATTTTCTGTACCTTGCCTGCCCTAACCGATGAGGAGGAGGAAGAGAAAACCGTTCCACTCCTCCGGGCTTTGGTGGATGTCCGGACTGTTGAGGACCACGCTGGCCAACTCGCCAAAGTGTTCGACGAGCTTAAGAAGCTGCGCGAGGATATGACCCTGATGGCGCAACAGCACCGTGACCAGCTGCAACAACTTGCTGATGTGCAGCCAGCCCAAAGCACCCTTCCATCTACCTACCCTGCTTCTAGTGCTGTGAGTCAGTCTGTCTTTGCCCCTCTAAATGTGTCTTCTTGTACTTCTTCTTCATCTTTGAGTGTGGCTAACAGCCAAGCAGGTCCAGGCCCTGTTGCTGCTGCTGCGGCGGCGGCGGCGGCAAGTGGTGATGCAGGGAATTTTGGAACTGTTGCAGCCCCGGGCCCGGACCCATCAATGGCTGGGCCAGGCGGCAGATTTGCTTATATCGACAGGAAGGCGGTGCAGATTCCGTCCAAGTATGACGGAAAGGACATCGTCGAATCTTGGATCAGCTTCATGCGATCCTACTTTGATGTATTGGGGACACCCCCGTCCACTCAGTCATCTATCCTAGGGACCAATGTGGAGCCCGTCGTGAGAGGTTTTCTAGAAACCCAAGCTGTCCAATCAGGCTATAAGAGAATAGACCTGAACAAATGGCTAATGGCTACGCCTACTGCCGCACTTGAGGATCTCTTGATCAAACAATATGCTGATCCACATGCTGCAGCTAAAGCAAGACTTAAGCTTGACAAGCTCAAACACAGCAAGTGGACCGGCACCATGCACAACCTGCAGCAGTATGTTAGTAAACTCTTTGCTACTCCGGATCTGGAGATGACTGCGCAGTCCTGTCTGGATGTGATAAAAGGAACGGTCCCCTGTACTCTGAAAGATCGCCTAGGGCTCGGGCTCAGCGGATATACAAATTGGCTTACCCTCATGCGGGACTTTGTCAAGCTGGAGGCACAAGACCTTCCTGATGGATCAAGTGGCAAAAAGGCCACCAGCCGCAAACGGTTTTCAGGCAGCAACCGTTTTGCAGCACATGATCTGCTTGCGGCTGACGAGGAGACCCTCGTTGACGAATCTTCTCTTGATGACGATCAAGAGCAAGACTGCGAGGCATCTTGCTCTTTGTCAGCCCATGAGTCTAAATACGTAAATGACGATGAATCAATGAATGCCTTTAAAAAGATTGCCT